TTGTGTGGGGAGCTCACAGGGGGCTCTCAACCCCTCCCCACAACAATCACTGCTGAGAAAACGCTGAATTCCAGAGGCATAAATATTTTTCTTCTTTTTTTTTTTTGGGGGGGGGGGGGGGTGGGGAACATATTTATAAAAAAAAGAAGTTGTTCTAGTTAAATATTGCTCTCTGGGTAAAAAGAAAACAAATAGACAAGTAATCAGAAAATCCCTGTGGTGTTACAACAGGTGTCCTATTTAAAACAAAGCAAAAAGGAGAAAAAAAAAAAAATCAAGTAGGAGAGGTTTGTCCACAGGAGAAAAACACTTTAGAAAGGGTAATAGAATTGTTTTTCTCATGTCCCAGGTTAATTACACTCAGAAGTGCTTGAAATGAAAAAAATAGTTTTTCAGCACACTCCAGGCATATTATAAGGCAAGTCAGCCTGAGTCTGTGCTGCAAATTAAGTGCTCCCTTCCAGCCCTATAAACCTGTGCTTTAAAAGTACCCGTGATGAAGGAGGCTGTGTGCTGACCTCAGGAAGGCAGACTTGCCGAGTCATAATTGTTATAACAAACTTCACCAGAAGACATTATTCAGGCAGGAGTTGGGTTCTGCAAAAGCCTTGTCTAGAGTATGGTCCTTTGCTTTTGTGCTGGTTTGGCTCTGTCTACGCTACAAACGTCAAAATGCTAGTTGGGAGCTGCTAGATCTGGAATCTATGGTATAAAATTCACTAGGCTTTCTGTTTGTGCCATAAAAGCTGTAGGTGTGAAGAAAGATTTTAAATTGTGCTGACGTAGGCAGATGGGAGTCCATTGAAAACCCTTCAAAAGATTTTTCTAGTATCTTTTTAAGTAAAATCACTGAATAATAGTAATAAAACTATACAATGATGCTAGAAGTAAATCTTTTTCCTTGCAGTACTTAATACTATTTTTATTATTTTTGAGGACTTATTGCTGTAATTGAATTGACTTAATTGTAGTGAAAATAACTGAAGTATGAAAGCATTTTGTCAAATTTTGCTTTGATATCTTGCTGAAGTCTCCAAGGGTGCAGCTAATACAGGAAATTGGATGCTGAAAGAACATCAAAGGAGGGTGTACAGGTTGGGTGGGAGTTTTGTAGGTAACTGTTTTGGGTCAACTCCATGGTTGCACTGTGTTGCCTGTGCTAGGTACTGAGGTGAATCATAGTGGCACTGTGCAGTTTCAATGAGAGCTTAAATTACATTACAGTTGCATCTGTCCTTATTTTAATGTGACATGGACTTTGTAGAAATTAAGGCTGCAGTAAAGAAGAATTAAATCTCTATCTCCGGTTTAAAAAAACCCAACCAAACTGAACCAGCACGAAACAAAAAAACCTTTAGGCTGCTTTTGAACTCATACACTCCACCTGAATTGCTTTTCTTTGTAGCTCATTACGTCTCTGCACACAAATGAAATACGTATGTTTCATGGTGCTATTTATCATAACAAAACTCTTGGGATTTAAACTACAATAAAACTGACCAAAAGCAGCATCAGTGATGCTTTACTGGTACAATAGCAATAGCCTGAAAAAAAGAGTCACTGTTTAATTAAATTTTTTTCTTTTTATATATTTTTGTTGTGTCCTCAACAAACTGCTGGAGCTGAGAGTGAGTAAAAAAGTGTGGTTTATTATTCCCTTTTCTCAGTATCAAGCCACTTATATGCCAGCTGGTAAAAACTTAATCTTTGTTATATGCTTATTGCTATTTTCTTGGAACACAAGGACATGAAGATTCATACATCTAGATCCCTTACAGCATAATGCTTCATAATGGCCATAACTAAAATGAGTGCCTATGATTTCTCTGAAAGATTCTCTATTATGATAAAGCATACGTGTTTTCTATCTCCCTAATGTCTCTTGTGGACAGTGTTATTATGCAAATTGGCAGGAAAAATTATAATAGTTTATTTTGATCTATCTCATTTCCCTATTAGGATTATAAGCAGTTCTTTAGAATTGCCTGTCCCTTTCTATAAAGTTGATGGTTGATGTTATTCACTAATTATGACACAATAGTGCTCAAAGATCCCAATCATGGCCCGGATCCTATTGTACTACAAGCTGTACATAAGCATGATAATCAGTCATTAAAACCTACTATTTTTAACCAGCAAGTCCCAATGTGCTCTATAAAAGAGGTAAATTCCGTTATTCCCATTTTGCAGATTCATCAATATTTCCTAGCTTTCTCATTTTATGCATTTAATGTTATTTTAAGGTAGTTTATCATTCGTAATGAAATAATTTTTTAGAAAGCAAATAAAAAAGATTTCTTTAAGCCCTTGTCAGTAGGGTTTGGTGTAAGAATTTCTAACCAGGACATGGAACTAGGTTGTTTTCTTTAAGCCCTCGTCAGTAGGGTTTGGTGTAAGAATTTCTAACCTTTAGGCAAATGGAGTAACTGGTACCAGATTGTCACCCTCAAAACCATGGGACCTTTTTTTGTTGGGCTTCATAGTTATTTGCTGACTAAGGATGAGACTATGGGATCTTAAGGTCAGCTCCAGATTGTGAGGGAGATGTGCCCTGTTGCATACAGAGCTCCTGGCTTCCTTTTCCCAGTCTGAGCCAGTTTCTTCTGCTCAAACCCCCAGTATGGCCCTCCAACTGCCATTCTTCTTGAGATCGATAATATATTCACACCGGTGTGTTGGCACTCAATTTATTCAAATTTAGTCACTTCTTGTGTTACCTGGACCCAGCATGACAGTTACTGGAGGATCTGTACAGTTGCAGTTGCAGGGGAAGTTCTGAGCAGCGTATGTTACAGCACACGCCACCCCTAAGTGCTTTAGCTGCTAAAACTAGGAAACCTTTATCTGGGTTTCCAAAAATCTGTTGACAGAAAAATGTTTGATTTACAGAAGACTAGTGTTAAATTTTCCTTTTGCTTCTTAAAATATTTGTAAAAATCTGTTGACAGAAAAACGTTTGATTTACAGAAGACTAATGTTAATTAGTAAATTTTCCTTTTGCTTCTTAAAATATTTGAGTTTATTTAAGTTGAATCTTTCACGTTTCTCCAGGTTTATCATTGTCTCATTTTTCTAGCATCAGCCAGGTGAGAGAAAACAATATAATCTTCTGCTGGTGGTGGTTCACTATCATCCAATTTATCTTGAAGTTGCATGTGCTGTAATGCTTTAAATCCATTGAATATCCAGCTCTCTGTTTCTTTAGGAGTTGAGTACAGCCCAATATGCAAATAGAATAGTGTGTGCTATTCCTAGTCAGAAAGAAACTGAAGATACTTAGGATGTTGGAGACAGAAAAAAATGTTAGATGATAACTCCAAGTTTTTGTATTTATAATAGTGAAGTGTGAGGTGGCAATATATTCTTTTCCCTGTGCAATGTTCTATATGTGTGATAATAAACATAACAGGAAGACACAGTATCACTGTCCCAAAGCGATGTGTGTCTCTGCTTGAATTTCTGGCACTTAGAACCAGCAGGTTCCATTTTTTCAGGCAGACACAGGTTAATTGGGGAGATAAAGGAGCTTTAATCCCCACATTAGCACAGCCTGTGTGGCACATGTTTCCACATCACATTATCAGGCTGTGTCATTCCCTGCTGTCCTTCAAGAACTCTGAAACTTCAGAAGTTTATTCCCTCATTTTCAGTAGTTTCACATATTTTAATTCCATTGGTATTTTTTCCAGCAAAAAATTATTTACATATTTGAAAGCATTTCCTTTTATTTCTGATACCTTGCCTGTTAATGCATTTTATATACTTAAAGACTGTTCTGTCAAGAAATACTATGTTTATGCTACACTGATTAAAATTAAGCAAACTTCTTGTGATTTCTTTATTAACTAGTACATGGATTTTTGCATAGCAGAAGTCACAAGACATCAATTGGATTTAATTAACTTTATTTTAAATTACTAAAGTAATGACAGTAGACAATACTGCAGCATGTTCATAAGTAGTAAAAGCAATGCTTGTACTGGTACATTATTAAATGTTAATGAAACTATTCATAGGAGAAATTATATTTATTATTTATTATTGTGGGAGAAAAGTGTGTCTTTGCAAATGCTGGATTCCTTTGCTAAAAGGAGGGTCTGTCTCTTCCTAGATGTGCCGTCAGAAGATAGTGAAAGGCCATACAGGTGGCAGCCTTTGGGGTTTGCCAGCCTCTCACCACACGGATTCTCCCTTACCCCTGTTAGAAGAAGATCTAACCAAAGGTGAGTCACAGAATCCCACCTGGGTACTGTACAGATGTTTGCTGTTTTAAGCAGGTATCTGGTGATCATATCTTCTGGCACCTCAAAACTTGTAGGAATTGTGATCTCAAATGTTGCAAAGGACAGAGATCAACTTCAGACTACTTATTGGTAGCTCACTTAGGACGTAGCTTATGTTATATTGAGCATTATCCTCCCTGAGTCAGTTATCTTGTAATTCACAGACTTCAGTTGCTGCTGAACATGGAGAGAAATGTGTGTGATGTGTGGTGTGTGATGTATTGTGCTCGTATGACTAAATAACATGGTCAAAGTAAACGGTCATGATTAATGTCTGGTTATTAATCATTCAATCTTAACTAGATCTGCACTTGGACTATTGTAGCAATCAGTCCATATTTATGGTTTACAAGGGTTAATTCTCATCCATTCTGCATATTAAATTGCCATTGCACAAGCATATAGTTCCTTCTCAGAATCAGCACCATTACAATATTTTTCATAGATTTATCAATTTTTATAGGCAAAGCTCATCTTCCTTAAAGGTGAAATATTGAAAGATAAGAATCCTCCAATAAAAGAAAACTGCTCCTTTCCTAGTTTTGTTTTAGAATCAGAAGAACTTGAGTTTGCTTCTATTTAATTATTTCTTTATTGTTTCTAATTCTTTTTCTGTCATAGAATGTGTATGAATTGTTCAGTAATGTCATCTCCTTGCAGGTATTCTGAGCTTAACTGAGCAACGGCTTATCCCCCCAGCAGCAAAGTTAACTCTGCAGACACCTCCTGTTCTACACAAAGCAGTACCTTTCCATGAATTTCAGAGGCAGCACAAGAAGTCGGCCGTAGGTGAGTGCAAAGGATCGATAACGACCACCAATTGCATCTCCAACTTCACTTTCAGGCCCTTGTTTTATCTCACAAGGAAATCAGATTTCTTAATTCCTGTGCTGATGTGGCCCCTGTTGATTTCTGAAACCTTGGTAGGCTCCTTACCTGCATGTTTTGGTTTCTGAATCTGAAGATCTCACCAGTGGTGTTAGTGTAAAGCCAGTGTTACTGTAAGTCGTGACCTGCATGACTTACAACAGCTGATTGAGCTGTGATTAAATTAATGACTCCCTAATAAGTGAATACACTCTGGGCCATGGGATTCTGATCTATCACAAAGTGTTCCCAAACCTGTTGTTGCTCCAGCTGCCTGTGGTGTGTGACATCAGCATGGAAAGGAGCAAAAGCGAAATAAGCAATGGGGTCAGCAGCAGTCCTGTAAGTTTGAAAAGTTGGCCTAATGAAAAGGGGTGGCTGAAAACTAAAATTGTATATGGAATAACCTGGACTCTAAGTGTTAATATTTTGACATAGTTATCCTGTGTAAACTGCTGGTTGCCATATTACAAACTTTAGAACATTATAGATTAAAAGCGTGATACATTTTCCAATAGCGTAATCTCAGTCTGCACAATGGCAACCTGTTATAGCATGGTTTGGCTTATGGCCTTCCAGTGGCATTCCCCAATGGTTTTTGGTAATAACTCATGAAAATTTCAACCCACTTGGACATGAGGGCAAACTGGAGCATACCAGTACCTGCTGGTAAGAGACAGAATGTCAGTATGATACCGTTGTTCCGCTGCTTTTAACAATGAAACTTGTGATCAATTTGTTTCTTTGGTACAGGAGAGATTAGTAGCAGGGTAGACCCTGAGAATACAGACACCATCACCTTCCAAAACTCAAAGGAAGCCACCTATGGCAAATATTCCTCTAGTAAAAGTGACATTCCACCACTTCCATCTAGCAGCTCCGTGGTTTCAACAAGGAAATCAAATCCATTGCGGACGTATCCAGCTCAACAGTTGGAATCTGAGCTACAGATTCCCTCTCAGGTATTTGGACAGTGAAGATAATGAGTGTTTTATTCATATTTTTCATACTGTCTTTAGCAGAGATAGTTTAAGAAGTGACTGTAAATCACCGAATTGGTATAAGAGGGTTTGAAACCAAAGCTAATAAATAGCAAATATTGAAGTAAGTAGGAAATACTTTGTATATTGCCAGTTTCATCTTTCTCAAGTCTTCTACCTAAATTTGTCTGCTTTTTCACAGAATCTTGGAAAATCAGTCTAGAAAGGATGTTAGGAGGTTATCTAGACCTCCAGGCAGAATTACCTGTACCTGTAATATTGCGGACAGATGTTTTTCTAACCTGTTCTGAAAACTTTTGGTGATAGCAACTCCACAGTCTCCCTAGGCCATCTGTTCTAGTGCTTAACTAACTGTCTTTACTGTTATAAAAGAGTTTTTTAATGTCTCATCTAAATCTCCTTCACTGCAGTTAAGCAAATGTAGTGTTTCCCTTTATATTTACAGAAGACTATATGGGAGTTTGACCTTGACTGCTTAATGCTTGCTGATTGTTCTTGATCCTCTTTTTTATGGCTAATTATTGTGTTCCGTAGCAAACTGTCTGGAGTTTTGCTTCATCTTTCCAGAATTTTTGACTTTTGTGCCATTGAGGCAATCTGAAAATGAAAGAGGAGATCTGACAATCAAAAATAAAGCAAACTTGAGAAGGTCAACGAGTTATTAATGTAAATAAAAATACCTATAAATAGATTGAAAATAGTGCACTTAGATTGACAATCAGAACTAATGAGTTGCTGGCTGAAGTTGCCAGTGAATACTGAGTTTTGTTAAGGGGCAGGGACATTTATATTCTGAGTTTTACCCCCTTTGTGTGTATGTGGTGGGATGTTTCCCATTCTCCTGGGACCGGAGGAGGCAGTCTCAGTGATAGAATGCTAATTGCAGTTACCTTCTGATTGTTGTCCAGTAATCACTGTAGAGCTTAATTTTTATATTTAGTAATTCAGGCATAGCTCCTCTGTGCCATTAACGTATTTCCCTAAAAACGCTTATCATTTCGGATGATGCCTGAGGTCTTTGTGTGGCAATGGGTTTTATGGTAAAGCTGGGCTGGGCTTTGTGGTTATGATGTATAAATCAGTCTGAGTGTATTTCAGATGCATAAATCCCCACAGTTAAGATGTAAACAGCAATACAGCAGTCTATTGTGACCACTCGTTTATGATCATAGAATCATAGAATTACCCAGGCCGGAAGGGACCTCCAAAGGGCATCTAGTCCAACCCCCCCGCAGTCAGCAGGGACCCCCCCAACTAGACCAGGTGGCCCAGGGCCTCATCGAGCCTCACCTTGAATATCTCCAGGGAAGGGGCCTCAATCACCGCCCTGGGCAACCTGTTCCAGTGCT